TTCCAAGCAGGACTTTAGAGCAGAGTATCTTCAAGGCTGAGTGGGTGCTGTGGCACACAGTCCATCCCCACCCTTATCCAGGAGGGATACAGTGTCCTGGAGGTTTTGCACAAGTGGGCTCGGGGGGGAAGCTGAGGATGGGGAACTCAGCATGGCAACACAGGGGTGCCACGGGAATCCCTGTGCTGAACCTCTGCTATGGACCCATCCCGGCGAAGGCCAGGGAGTGACATGGTGCCTGTCTGTTCTGACACCCTCTTGCTGGTGGGCTCAGGCCACCAGCTGGTGACACTTCAGCCAGGTGGCACCAGCTGCCAGAGCTGGCCCCTTGCACTGAAGGATGGTGGTGGTGTTTCCAGGTGTTACCTTTGTGTTAACACTTTCTTTCCCTAAAGGAAACCAGGTCCAGCAAGGGATCAGTCACTGCCCCAACCTATTTCTGTAGCTTCCCAGCTTCTGTTTGATCTTTTGGATGCTGGTGGACACAAACCAGCCTGCCACAAGCCTATTCAGAGTGATGGGAGCAGCTTGGGGAGCCCTGGTGGGGTTCCCCAACCACAGATGGGTGATGGGGACGCACCATGCAGCCTGCAAATCCCAGGATGATGAAAAAGACCCTCATCACCAGTGGAGGCAAAGCTGGGTCCTTTCTGCCTTTTCTGAGTTAACCTATGCCTGAGCTCCTCGTTCCCACCAGCCATCCCCCTTGGCAGGGAGGGAACAAAGAAGTCCAGGAGGACATGGTGCAACCAACACTGTTAAGATGAGCTCTGGCATTGAGGTAATAGGAGACAGAATGATGCGTGTCCAGGCTGGCACTAGGAAATGAGGCAGTTTAGAGTCACAGCAGGAACGTGCTGGTGCTGGCAGGCACCGCTGGCAGGCTCCCGGGTGGGCAGGAGGCTTTGTTCGCCTGCAGCACTGCTCTTGGGGAGTTTACCTGGAATTACTGATCTGCATTCATAAACATGATCACATTAATTGGCTGCCGAGGCTGCAGTCGCCGTCTCCTCTCAGCACTGGGACTTCATCTCCCTTCCCATCCCAAATGTCAGGATGTGTCTGTTCTTCCATCCACTCGGCACCATGGCCGAGGACAGAGAAGTGGTTGGAGAAAGGAAAGAGGCAGAGGATGGGTGAGTCCATGAGCCTGGAGCCAGTGACAGACACCCACTGTCACCACCTCCATGCTGCAAAGCAGCGCCTTGAAAATAAACAGCAGACACCTTCTGGAGGGGACAGGAATCCCTGTAGCCCTGGGCAGTGATGACTTGGGAACAGGCACCTGGGCTGGAGACCAGCTTTTTATGGCTGGAGCAATGACTGGTGGGCAGGAGAGGGACCAGCTCCCAGCTGAGGACAGAGACACTCGGGCTTCTCAGCCTGAGACCAGGCTGGTGCTCGTCTCACTTGGAGCGGGGCCAATCACTTCTAGTAAATTATTCATCCGACAAATTTAGCCTGTTATTCTAGTCGTGCTCTACCCAGAGTTTTACAGATTTCATTATTATTTCAAATTGTGCAAACACCGCAGAAACCTCTCTGGGGCTCTGGCGCGCTCTGCCTTCATCTCAGCTCATCTGCCACATCTGGAACAGGATTTTTACCGTCTAGTGCCAAACCCTCCATCCCCAGCATGGCCACAGGACCTTGTGGAGGTGAGTGGCATCCCTGTTCAGCACCAGGCTCTGCTGAGGGGAGAACCATCTACTGTGTGAGAACCATCCACTGATGACCCAGGGGTCAGTGGGATTACAGGAGGCCATGGCATACCAATGGACCCATACAAAGATATTCTGACTTTTTTTCACCTCCATCCTTGTATCTGGGGCAGGGGAGAAAAATGACAGCACTGTTCAGCACTGTTCTCTTGCATTCTGCACTATCCTGTTTCCTAAGCCTGGTCACCTTGGGAAAGCAGGAAGAGATTTTCCCGTCCTCCCCCACATGCCATAATTTCTCCTGTCGAGGTTTCTGTGTAGTCATGAGGGTACAGCTAAAGCTTTGCACTGCCAAAGAGAATCACATGCTTCTTGTAAAATATACAGCCTGGGAAAGGAGGGGAGATGGATGGGCTTTGTTGTGGACAAGCCAAGAGTGATCAGAGCCATAAGTGGAACACCATTATGTCTGGGGAGAAGCTGTCAACCAGGAATGGTCGAAGCACTTTAACCTTTTGTCTCAATACAGGATGTGAAAGAGAAGAGCAGCCAGTGACACCACCTCCTTGTCTGCCCAGAGCTGGTGGAGAAATGCCACCAGCAGTGCAAGCCCATTTCCGTCACATCAGGACTCATTGCTGGTGTGATGGTGATGGTCAGCTCACACCTACTTAGGGGGAGAAAAACAGGGCAAAGAGGCCCAGGAATACCAAATGAGATATCCCCAAGGGCTGTTAATGCACAGTTTCACCAAAACCAACAGAAAACAGTATAAATTTCTACATAGAGACCTGCCAGGGCTCCCTAGCAAGGTATTATGGGACCCTTGAAT